ACTTTATACACCTCCCCCAACATAACCAGTTGGATATATATGCACCCCAATTTGAAAAGCCTGACTAACATGTGAAGGGAGTCTTCTCCCGGTGAGGCAGAATGCGGATGCTCATTTAAGCTGACCCCTAACCTGACAGGTAGCAAAGGTAGAGCATGACCAACAAACACACAGGTGTAAGGAACACTAAGACACTAAGAGACTGAGGGAGCACAATCATCCTGCCTATCACTTTCTCATTCACAGGGTCAGGAACACAAACAATAAAAAACCACGAAATCATGATGGAACCACGACCATTCATGTTGGGCAAAAACATGGATGACTTCTCTTACAAAGTGTCTCGACAATCAAGGTGGAAAATACCAATGTATAAACGAGAAACATCTTTTACATTCAAGATATCAATTCAGTTAGTGTGGGGCTTTGGTTCATCAGTTTCAAATGCCAAGTTTCCAAACGAACAACCTAAAAGGTGTTAACCGACAGTGGTGTACATCAGCGAAACATGGCCTTGACTCTAGATTTAACACAACCTCTTACCACACTAAAGGAGGAAAAACGGTAAGTTTACGTGATGCTAACAACACATTATCTAACTATAAATGAATTATTTACATAGGGGAGCAACATTTTTCCTAATCTTCATGCCTTTTTAGGCAAGTAAAGTTCAATTCTCATGGAAAGTATTTTACCTTCTGGAAGACCTAACAGGATTTATGACATTCTTTTAAAGTGAAAGTCCTTTGGAAGTTAAAGGTGAACAAGGAGCTTATTACAAAACAGTATTGGGCATCTTGACGTAGACTACAAATTAACTTCTAATCTTACAAAAAATTTTTTTGTACTTTCACATCATTTTTAAAAAGTTTATTTCACTAAGATTCTGCTAGGTTATTTTTGTTTCACTCTGACTTGTTTTTCTCTGCACTCACACCACCAGCTCTGAAACAGTGGACTGTATTTCATGTATGTGTGCATGCATGAAATAATGAAATCAAACTGCAACGGTCTACTACAATGTGTGCAATTTTGTTATTTATATGTTTTTCAAAAGAAAAATAATACACTCAAATTCTAAAAATTTTCTTTTATTTCCTCTATTGATTCCCTACTTGCTTTTCATAACAGCTCCACCTTCCTTACTAAACCATAATTTTAATGACATGTGTAGCCAGGACATGTACATCTTAACAGTATCAACCAACAGCTTACTATTTAAATTTTCAAAATATTAGTAATTATCTTTAATAGATATTCCCCAAAATTCACAAGGAAAGCAACAACTCATAGTGTACCTTCTGTAATTATGCTTTTAGTAATCAAATATAAATTAATACATGTATGCATGCATGTTATAATGAAAATCAAAAGCCATTTTACTTGATAAAACGCTATTTATTGGTTGGTTATTTGGTAGCAAGTACACATTCATGGAAAGGCCTACTGTAATCGGAGAATCTTTAAAGTTGCTAGAGGCTTGGTAGCTCGAGATTGGGTCATCAAATACGAGTAACTGAAAAATTACTTGACACAATCTGTTCAATATGGTGACATTTTATTTTAATATAAATAGTATTAGAACTCTTCCTGCACTTTAGCTTAAGGAAAAGATTAGAAATTTAAGCAAAACAATTTAACAGTGGGTATGTTTAATACCAGTAACTCCCAGACAGGTAGGGCGGGTAGGGGTCTTTAGAGATTCACAGCCCAATGAAGAAACCAAATCAAAGATTTAGTTCAGGATACCCATACCCTACCCTCCAGTTAATTAAGGCTTTTTACTACATACTTTAATGAACCCTCACAATTTACCTAAATCCCAGCCTTCAAGCCCAATTGTTTCACCTTTTTAATTTTTGAGTGTCAAAACCAGGAAACCTTTGAAACCACACAACGCATGTTTTTCTAAGAGCTCACAGCAACTTTTCCTGTGAAGGGAAAATGTCTATTACCACCGAGGACACCGGTCACCACTATACCTTATGTATCATTTGCTAAATCAAACAAAAGAATCTTCAACAACTTCATCTCAAACATATCCTCAAATATGAAATTGTCTTCAAATTATTCATTCAAAACTCATGTAACTATGTATCAAAGATCAAATACAGGTCAAAATTCTATCTAACAAATACTAAACAGTATTTAAAACTTACAAATAATACCCATTTAGATTAAGTATCTCATCCTTGTAATTACTAAATAATTATAAAAGCAAGATAATTAAGTCTTTAATGGAATATCTCAATCCAACTGCTGCCTCCTCACTCACAAAATTTTACTTGGCAGCAAATGTCCAATGAAAAGTCTCCTTTAAGCACCAAGTGTTGTTAACTATGTATCGAAGAACACACCCATTCATTTCCCCATAAGTTTACCTTGGTGTATCTACATAAAATACCTATAACAAAGTCTTAAAAGTACCCTTGGGTATCAACCACTGTTAATCTTTGGTAGCAAGTGAATATTCATGAAAAAGCCTGTTCTGATCAAAGAATCTTTTAAGGTTTTTAGAAGCTTAACAACTCTTGAGATTGGGTCACCAAAATATAATTGAGAACTTAACATATTTTATGTAAAAGAGTGCAGAATGCAAATGATTAAACAACACCAGCAACTTAAAATTGTTCTCTTAAGTTGTAAGTCATTTCTCTGTTCAGAACTCACGACTGCAACCAGCTCTAACCGGTTCCTTGAGGAATGTGGCTAGGCTGAAATTTTGGAAGCGTTGGCTTTGGTGGAGACCAACGAGGAAGTCTCTGGCTTCCCTGTTGCTACAGTTTCCACCCAGCAAAATGAATATACCCACCGGTGTGTATTGATAATGTGGTCCAAAGAGCAAAGCAGGCACGGAGTCCAGATCCTCAAAATGGCAGCACAGGGTATAACCACTAGGCAACCTATCAGTTCAGAACAAAAAGCACAACCCTGTGCATCATGGTGCAAAAGCTGGGGCCTAGGTTTCACACTGAGCATCTCACACCTAGGAAATAACAAGAGGAGTAAAATCTATAGAAATAACACACCCCAAGAAGATGGGTGTTCACAGAAGACTGGTGTCAACGCTCTTGCAAAGGTGGTTGGCTGCTAAGATAATGAGTAGCAATCACAATTCTGAAGTTGGGAAGAAAATTATACAATCAACTGTTGAGTTTGACAATGAAGAACTCAACAAGGGCTTGATGTTTACCAACAAGGCTTTGCAGATCATGACACCCAGCTACATGCTTATGAAAACTACCCCACTAACATCTACCATCCCTCAAGAATGATTAACTCTCAAAGAGTTGGAAAGATCTGGGCCATGAAGAAGGGAGGTAATCAGCAATACCCCAAACCAGTTACTCTCAGGTTTGAAGCTTTTCCCTTTACCATCTGACCTTGGAAAGACATGGTGACACAGGCGAAGCTCAAGGCGGAAGAATTCCAGAATTCCAGAGAAGGGGAAATCTATGTACCAAGGATGTGTCAAGGTGATTCATCAAGAACAAAAGTAGACTGTGGGTCAACACTTTTGAAAAGTAAAAAGACAGAACTTCTAAAAGGCAAGGTGGATTCTTTAAAAGAGAAAATCACTGCTCTTGACTCCGTCCTTCGCCATGTTGCTGTCAGCTCACCAACTAGGAGTGCAGTGTGCCTTGCTGAGCCCATTTTCCCATGGTCTGTAGAAGGCGCTGTAAAGCACATCCTGTTCTAGCTCTGGGGCCCTTCCCCCCCTCTGCAGCCTTACCCAGTGCAGGGAATGCGCCCCCTACTGACTCCAACGCTCATTGCCTTTAGCCGACTTGGCTGCGGTGCATTTTGGGTGGGGGCTGGTATTTTCTTCATGGCCATAAACCAGAAGCAACAATGCAGATTTACAAAGAAACTGTATCAAGGTCCCCAGGAGATTCTTTTCTTTTTTCATTTTGAAGGTTCAAGGCATTTGGCACGAGAAGCATCAGGAATAGGAACTGGGTGTGTGGGGATGGACAGCATTAAAATGGCAAACACGAGAAACAGTTTGGTTCTTTTTCCCTCCTAAGCCTTTGTCTGAGAAATGGGGTTATGGCAAGAACTGTCCAGAGGAATTGGTGAATGAAAGAACATCAAGAACACTTAATGTGGGTGTGTGTGGCTAAAAAGAATATTAGATCTTAGCGCCTGATATTGGGCAGAAGAGGAAGAGAAGAGGCAATCGCGCCTTTTCCAGCAGACAGGCATCCAGGTTGGGGGGGGGGGGGAGGGGAAGGCAGGCAGGCAGGCAGCCCAGAGCAGAGGAAAGAAGAGGTGAATAAAAGGGTACTCAAAGAACTACTCCCATTCATTGCATTAAAAAAAAAATCTCTTCGCAGCTGTCTGGGTTTCCATTTTCTACCATCTCATTGCAAAGTTGGGGCTCACAATGCTCCTAAGAGGTCGTGCTAACCAGGCACTGCGACTGAGTCAAGAGGGTGGTGGTGGACTCCGTGGCCAGGATAGGAGGGGAGCTAGCATGTTGGGGAGGAAGGATTGCACGGGAGAGGCAGACTTGCACTCCGTGCTATGCATGCTCCCCGCCCCCCAATCTGTCCCCCTTCCCCTAGCTAAGGATGGGTAGACCTGGCAGAAGGCTCGTCCCAGGCTTTGGGGGTGTGGGTGGGGGCTCCTTGGGAGTGGGGGGCGGGAGGAAGGGTTGAGTTCCAGGGATGGGAGAAGCTAGGTTATTGCTGGGGGCGGGGTGGAGGGAGATGCCATTAGCGGCTAAAGCTCCGGGGCCAGGCCGGCTGCTGGCCTCCGCGGACTCACGAGGCTGGGAACGGCGGTCAGGCTGCAAGAGAAGGCGCCCAGCCCCCGGAGCAGAGCCGGGGAGCGGTCCGAACGGGGCGGGCGGTCCATCAGACCCGGAGTATGCAAAGGAGCGTGTGCGGTCGGAGGGCTGGCAATTTAAACAATTCGCTCGCGGGGTCGGCTCGGCGGGAGCCCCGCGGACTGAGGGTCGGGAGCAGGGCCGGGCCGCGGGGCCGCGCGCGGCTTACCTTGACTCGGCCTCGAGGCGAGCGCGGGGCCGGCGTGCTCGGGGGCCGGGCGGTAGCAGCGGCGGGCGGGTGGCGGCGGCACGGCGGTGGCGGCGGCGAGGGCGCGCCCGGGGCCTCGTCGCGCTCTGGCTCGGTGGCCTCGGCGGGCTCCGGCTCGCGCCGCGGCCGCGGCTGCTGCCGGGGGGCGCGGCGGGCGCAACAGAGCGGCGGGCGGCGGCGGCGGCGCGAGCAGCTCCCTCCAGTACCCGCGCAGGCGGCGGCGGCAGCGTCGTCGAGCGGTGCAGACAAAGGAGGGGCGGAGGGAGGAGACGGAGGGTGTGGGAGAGGCCGCTTCACCGGCGCGGGCAGGCGGGCGGCGGCGGCCGCGCTCCTCTCGCTCTTCAGCTGCGGGGACCGAGAGAGGGAGCTGTGCCTGAGACGCCAAAATCCCCCTTAGCGCTGCCCGCGGGAGGGGGAGGGGGCACAAGATGGCGGCGGCCAGTGGGGGGCGGGAGTTCAGCTCATGGATCTCGGCGGGCGGCGGAGGGGAGACCGGGCCGGCGGAGGCTGCGGCGGCAACGGGCGGGGGAGGGGGCTGATCCCGCGTCTCCCCTCAGCAGACAATACAAGCGCCTTAGAGCGAGTCCCTGAACCTGCCCTAGCCAAAATGGCGGCTGAGAAAGAGCGGAAGTGACGTAAGTACTCATTAGCATAAGAGGACTCATTGTCCAGCTAAGTGGAGGGGGGGCTCAATACCCCTTCCCCATATGTCCCCCCAGGGACAACTCTGCTATTCCCACTTGTGCTTGCACCTAACTTTTTCTTAGGGAGGGTGGCCCCAGCATCCCCGACCCCGCCTAAGGGAAATTATATAATCCCCACTGAGGGGGAGCTCTCGCGAGAAGCTGGATTTGCCACTGACCCACTAGGAGGCGCCGCGAATAATGGCCGCAGTGCGCTTCCAGGGCCCGTGTGCGCGGAGGGCGCCTTCCACTGGCCGCAGCGCTGGCGGCGGAGGCACATGCAGAGGGCCGTAGCACTCGCTGCACTCAGGTGGCCGTGCTGGGGATCCCTGCGCGGGCCCAGCTGGGCCTGGACTACATCTGGCGGGAGGGGGCGTGTGGGCAGCCCTGCGGCTCCACGTGCTGAGAGGCCCGCGCGCTCACTGGCTGGGCAGCAGCCGGAAGGGCAGGGATACCTGGCCGGTCTTGCCTGACACCTTCAGTCTTAGGTGAGGTGTGAGGGCCTCGTGCTTCACACACCGACTTGAGATGAGACTCAGCCCCAAGGGTGATAACTTCCTAGTGGGGCGGGTTACTCAGCAGACAGGGGCTGTGTTTTACAGAAGGCCGGTGGTTGCCCCTGGACTTGACGTTCTTCCAAGGCAGTGATGGCCGCCTCTGTTTGGCCTGGAGAAAACACATGGGAACCCTAGGGTTTTGAAGCCACTGGACTGGTGGAGCCTAAGGATGAGAAGTGATGGTGCCGAAGGACCTCAAGGTCCTTAAACACTGCACTCGAGTTGGAGTTCCAGGGGCACGTTGAGCGCTTCCACGACCTGACCGTGTAAGGCAGCACGCGGGCAGACCGCCGTGGTTAGGTTAGCTCGACCCCAGCCGACACAGCTCATCATTTCAAAGCCCACCCTTAAGAGAACACATCTGAGAGTATACCATTGGCTCAACATACTGAAGAGTGGTACATGCCAATTGTGAAGTATTAACCAAGCTTGTTTTCTTCAGGTACATTCTGTAAATACACTATCTTTTGCTGTTACTGTAAATTTCAAGGTAACAGTTTCAAACTATACTTAACATCCCGAAAGAATCTTACCTTAATGGAAAATTATACCAATTGTGGTTACATGTTGCTCAATGTAACCTTCAGTTGGTAGATTTAACAAGGTGTTTTATCCAACAGAGTATTTCATTAATTTCAGAAATTGTGATCAAGTACACCCTCAAAAACCAAATCGGTATTTTGAAGGAAAACAATAGTTGGAAAAAGTCGTGAAAGAAAACAAAAAGTGAGAGGACGAAGCATTTGGTGTAGACCAGCGATTTTCAACCAGTGCGGTGCAAGAATTTTGAAAAAGGTGCAATATCTGACTATTGAGTCAGGGGCATGCGTTCCCCTTAGACTGTAAAAAAAAAAAAGGACAACAGCCAAAACAACAACAGCCGCCTGGTGTGAATGAATCAAAATTATACCTTTATTTTTGGTCAGAGCAGCAAAAATATATTTTTTTGGTGTGCCACAGAAATTCAGTAATCAGTTTATGTATACCACGAGATGAAAAAAGGTTGAAAATCACTGGTTTAGGGAGACAAAGATGACTCAATTACATGTTGCAGAAGACAGGCGAAAGCTAATATGAAGTAAACAAAATAATTTTATCTTAAGTGTAGATTCCCTTAGATATACTTAGATTTCACGCAGTGATAATACAAAGGGAGAACATCTGGATTTCATCCTTGGCCTCATTTGCAAAGTAAAAAGGGATGCTGGATTCACATGTAAATGATTTTAGTGTGTAAGTCACTGCATTTACTACAAAAATGCATCTAAATAGCCTGGATTCTTTTCTAAATAACTTCCAAATGGTGAAAGTCTTCGCTGCTTAACTACTTTCTTGACTGTAAACTCCAACAGTTAGTGTTGTAATGATTGTGGAAATAAAAACCAAAAAGATTAAAAAGGCAAAAGGTATCTGCTCCAGTCGAGGCCTGAGAAGGTAATACTAGTGGGTTCTCTGAGGTGGTTGCTTCGTCTCTGCTCCATATACTTGATGATGAAAACGACTTCAGGTTTACATGAAAAAGAATATTCTAAACACCTTTTTTAAAAGAGTGTTATATTTCTGTGATGTTAGCTTAAAACTAATTTTACACCCAACAGTGATGAATGTTGCAGCTACTGAGAGGATGGGAGAAGTCGCTTCCCCGAGGAAGGTGGGTCCCCAGTGGGCCACCACACTAAAAGGCCCTTTTAGTAACGTGTCCTGTGGACTCAATTATGGGAATAGGCAATGTTCAAAATGCCATCCAAGGTTTAATACTCTGGTGTCATTTCTGGGAGGATCTGCTAGAAACAGAAACGGAAAGATCAGACTTGACGTCTTCTTGACTTGAGCAACCAAATCAAGCCAGGAAAATGTAACGATCAGGAGTACTGTTCACTAAATGGTTAGTAAATAACTTAGGGATGTCTCTTCCTTTTACTCGTGAAGGAAAGTTAACTTGATCTTAAGCTCTTATGCTCATGTCTTACCCCAAAATTTTAAAGATGATACATGATCCAAAAGCTTTGTTATAGTTAGAAATTGGTTATTTTTAAATACCTACTTTAACAAAAGTAAACAGAATGTTTGCACTGGCTTGACTGAACAACTTGCATTTTAACTATCAAGAACACTTTTCTGAACAGAGAGAAAAGCTATAGGAAAGGTATTTTATTTTATTAGTAAAGATATATGTGATGTTCAGGACCCTGAAATAATACGAAAAGAAGTATTTTGAGAAAAAAGTATTTATGTAGTCTGTAAGGTGTTTAAGAACGGCTGTGACAGCCACATTGGCTTTCATGGCGGCACTTGTCCTCGCTGACAGCAGTCGCTGCGCGGAAGGGGGGGGCCGCTGTGCGGCCACTGCCGTCCCGGTGCCCCCAAGTCAGACAGCGTTTTAAGTAGACTCGCTTGGACAGAGGAACTGCTGCATCAGTTCAAGAGCTGCACAGCACCGAACTCTGAAATGGTGCTTTAAATGTATTGTTTTACCTGATTTAAGAATATGAGATACCTTTTTAAAGAAAGGGCAAAGGTATGCATTTCTTTTTCACTTCATGTAGGAATAGTCATATGTATTTCATGATTATATTTAGCATTGCTCTTCTGACATCTATTAGGTACAAAGAGCTTTAAGTTCAGTTTTTACAGAGAGTATTTCACAGTTTTCCTCATGTGAGAAACTGCACTCAAACACTCTAATGGAAAAGCGGCAATGTTTTATGCAAAACCCCATGTGGGTTTATTTATAGGTCTTACTTAATACAGCAGAATGTTACAGAAAATTGAGAACACTGCTCATTTCTCTAATTTAATTTGACATACAAAATGGAATTTCTTCAGAAAAAAAGATTTGCATGAAATTTACCTTACCTATGATTTATGCTCTGAGAGTACATTTCATAAAAATCAGCAACCAGGCTTCCTTTATGTTTCACTTGAAATGAACATGATAAATGTAAATGAACAACTTTCTTTTACGTAGTAGCAAAAAGAGTCAATAATCCTTTCAAGAAAGAGACTATTTCATTTCCTCCCAACTTGGATTCGCCGTAAACACGATCCACAAATGATATTGGAACCTATTAATAGTTAAAAAAATATACATTAAGTTAGTCTTCAAAAACATTAAAAAGGAAGCATAGCAGGCATATAAAAATTACTAATACCATAGAAACAAGATTAGTTCTGTGACAGCAATCCCTTCAGATGGAAGCAATTCCTTCATTCCTTACGGCGTGTGTGTACCTCCGAGTCTTTACAATTAAACAAGCACTTTGTTGTTCAAAAGTAGGCTATACATATAAACAAATCGACAACTGCTTGAAAAGCACTGATCCCACATATTAAGTTGGTTTACTCGAGTTTCAGAGTGCATTTCAAGGAAAAATTATACTCCAAAAGTAAAAAGGTCTTTCACTTAATTTTTTCACCGGTCTGTCAAATGTAGCTATTTCTTGTTCCGAGCAGGAGTCTCAGTGTTAAACAGGGAAGAGTTTTCCCGAGAGTTCACGAGCTGGCTGTGAACATCACAGACCGCACCCCACCCAGGATCCCTGGCTTTTCATCTACTCACAGGACACGGGCTACTCATCATTCATTTTCAAGTTGGGTGGCTGTGGGCTATGGCCAGAGGAAAAGCAGGAAACAGACTCATCCCCGAATGCTGAGTGGTCAGAAGGACAAGGATGGAGAACATTCCAGGAACTTTTAAGTATTTTAAAGGGAATGCTGCCTTCAGTTAATGTTTGTGTGGGATTTTTTTTTTTTTTTAAGATTTTATTTATTTTTAGAGAGAGGAGCAGGAAGGGAGAGAACCATCCATGTGTGGTTGCCCCTCGAGTGCCCCCTAGTGGGGACCTGGCCCGCAACGCAGGCACGTGCCCTGACTGGGAATTGAACTGACCCTTTTGTTTGCAGACTGGCGGCCCTCAGTCCACGGAGCCATACCACCCAGGGCTAATGTTTTAAATCTTGGTGGGTCAAATGTATTAATGTGAAAGGGATGTGAATTTTCACCCGTTAGTGCATGGGCATTCTAAAAAGCTCGAAGCCTTTCCCATTTATTTGGTACTTATCAAAATTAAACCTTGTATTGTAAAAAACCTAAACCTTATTACTTCTTTACGAGGAATACACGCACTATTGCACCCTCAGCTGCATACCTCGCCAACAGAGTAATTCAGCTGTCTGGCCCGGACAATCATTTCCATCTGGAAGACGTAGCCTTTGGAAACACATTTTTCTATCAATTTCTGTAGAACTTCTTTTCGGTATAACCTGTATAAAATTAAAATATATATATATAAACTCCTGGATAAATATACTTGCCTGCATGTATCCTGACCTTTCAAAAAGTTCACTGGTATTTCTAAAATCTAAAACTTTCGCTAGCCATCTGTATATAGAAAAGTTCTCACAGTTGATTTTACGTTTGTCTTGAACCAGAAAGGTCATGAAATACTTTATAAATAATTATAAAATGAATTCTTAGTATTTAAAAAGACATATATTTAATTTATTTATTTTTAGAGGGGGGAAAGGAGGAAGAGAGGGAGACATCCTGTGTGGCTGCCTCTCACACGCCCCCTACTGGGGACATGGCCAGCAACCCAGCCATGTGCCCTGACTGGCAACTGAAAGGCAACCCTTTTATTCGCAGGCTGGCACTCTCTGTCTGCTGAGCCACACCAGTGGGGGCGAATTCTTAGTATTTTTTACAGAACTATTTTCCTACCGTACTATCAGAAATTATAAAAATATAGTAATATGAATCATTCAAAGCAGAAGCACTTACTGTTTTTACTTTTTAAATTTTCTTAAAATTTATTTCTAAAGTTGAAAGAGTAGAAATTGTTCCAAATATTGGAACAGTAGAGTTGATAGGCAATGAAACAACAACATAAACTAGATGACAAGGCGAACCTAGTAATTAACAAGCATTTCCTCATAAATATTTATGACAAGCGTCTTTTTCTGCAGATCCACTAAATAAATTCCCTGGGGTACACTAGCCCCCACAGGATGACCTTGGGTAAGCTAGGTTAAGACGGGAACCAGGCATCACAGGATCCGGGCAGTCCTGGTGGGACACAGCTATCGCCAACTGATGTCGCAGTTAGGCACTTACAGCGGGCGAATGAATGAATGAATGTGCAGTCTACCTCCAGGCAGACTGCAGGCCAACACAAAGCTCATGGGGTCTACTAAGGAAGCCCGGGGCTGGCAAGTCCCGTGAGTGAACCCAACGGCTTTCTGGAGGAGCTCCCTGTTTGCAGTCACTGGGGTGAACGAACACACCCTTCTCCCCACCCCCCAAACGGTCTCAGTGAGAAGGCAGGCAGCAATTTCTCTGGGTCTTTTTGGAGCAAGTCGGGAGAGGCAGTTTGGCCTAAGTATGTTCTCTCCTGGTTAAAGGCCACCTGGATTTGCAATGCCCAAGGCAGGGAGGGGTGCTTAACCTCGAGCTACAGTCTTTTTGAGTTTCCACTTATTTTGTAAAAGGCACAGGGCCCCTAAATACTAAGAATCTAATGACAATGAACAAACTTTCATCGGAAGTTGAACTTTAATAAAGTCACTACTCTTAGGAAGAGACAATGAACTATTTAAAAGCAGTGAAATTGATGGGCTCACTTGTGCATGTACACGTGTCTGCTCTGACATTTGCAGAGAATACACCCAATCACTGCTCTCCCCGAAAGGCCGCCGGAGCTCCAGGCCACCCCTCGTCCTCACCCCTGCCTCCAACCCCTCCGTGGGTCTGGGGGCAATGCAGCCCCGCCCCCCTTTCTCTCTGCTGTGCCCTTCTAAACAGCAGAGTCCCCATGTGCTGCTGCCACACCTATTTCATGCAGCTGTACGTCTCATCTCAGAACGTGTCAACTCCACGAGGACAGGGGCTTTGACTTGTCCGGTGCTGGGCATGCGATAAACACTGGCTGACTCTAAAACAAATCACCTTTTAGCTTTTCGGAAGGCACCTGCAGAGCTTTCAACAGGGGAAGTAGGCCGAAAAACAAAGTCCCGCAGCCACAGCCCTCGCAGCCACCCCGGGTCTTCCTTCAGTGTCCCCACGCCTGTGGCCGCTCTGTCTGCAGAGACTCTGTAAGTGCCGCCACTCCGCGCAGTCGCCGCACGGCCATCAGTGGCCTCCATTGGATGGCACATTCTCCTCTCCCTTCAAGTGTGGAACCAAAGGGACACACTCCCGGGCTCCACCTGTCTTTCATAAACCAAATTCTGCTCTCTAACCCCTGTACGTTTTAATCCTGGAGGGGCTTCGTTTTCATTATCTACCCTCTCATCTGTGATGGCTCCTCTCTTCGTTTTTGGGGGGCGGGCGGTGGGGAAGCGGGGGCAGTTGTCCTGTGCTCATCATAACCATTTTTATTTTACCAATTAAGGACACAAAAAAGAAATGTTCACTTCTGACCCCCTCGGCCTTACTGTCCCTGAGCTGATGACGCCCTAGACTCACAGCGACGCTACGGGCGCCCATTCGCCCCCACAGCCGGCTCCCAGCTGTGTGCGTGGGTGCCAGCGGGGGGTCGAAAATCAACATTATTTCATGGAAAAAGTAAATACCAAGCAATATAATTTATTAACTAATGCACGGGGTTTGGGTCTTAAAAGAAAATAAACAGGCATCTTCTCAGAGATTTAAAAAAAATCTGGCAGGCTTTAATCTCTTGGCACGGTCACATAAAACAGTTCCTCTCCGGAAGCAAGTCTAGAATTAAACACATACATACCTGCCGCACCCAGCCCCCCCCCCCCCGAATAAACAAAAACAACACCCCCGAGGGACCCAGCAGGAGGCTTTGCGCCAATCACCTAAGAATTTCTACAGAACACACGTGGAGAACAAGGTGACCAAAAGGCTCCACAGAAACAGGACAGATTTCAAACTTTCCTGGGACCCATGCGGTAAATGTCCGTGTGACGGCAGAAGCCTCTGGAGGAGGCGGCAGCCTCCGGAGCACAGCGCCGCGACAGAAGCGTCGGGAGGGAGCAGTGAGTGGGCCCCTCGCGGCTGAACATCGACACTGACAGAAACAAGCACCCTGACCTGGGCCCCGCCTTTGCTGCTCTTTAGAATAAAAAAGCACAATTTTTTTGTGAAGATGCTTATTAGCAGCTTCTAAGGAACTTCAGCCTTTTTAGTGTTTCAGAACAAGAACAAGAACAGGGTTGAAATGAAAAGCATTTCTTTAAAATAAGCCATTGTAAAGCAAGAAATTTAGGCAAGCAGTTATAAATAGTAGAAATATAAAATTACGGTTTTCACTGTACCTGAAACTTCCTGTTAAATCAGATGCTCCGGGTCTCAGCAAAATCTGAGTTATGAAATTGGCCCCGCGGCTGTCAAATAAAGCAATCAGATTTTCGTTACAAAATAGTTTCTAAGCAAGAGAAACACATCCAAGAGCAGAGTACTAAAAACGCGACACCAGTTTCATAGAGAAATGCAACACTGGTTTACACAAATATTAATCTTGCAGAACAAAGAAATCTTTGGTCAGTGAAAAGAGACCCGTCTTAGTCTGCTCGGGCTGCTACAGCAAAACACTAGACGTGGTGGCTTAACCAACAGACACTTATTTCTCACACCCCTGGAGGCCAGGAAGGCCAAGACACTGAAAATCTTCCTCGCTCACTGATGGCTGCCTTCCAGCCATCTCAGAGCGCTCCTGAGGGGAAGGGTGGGGGGCAAAGCGGGGACTCAAGCTCTGTCTCTTCTTCCAGGGGCACTAAGGCTGCCAGCCCTGCCCCACTCTCGGGACCTCACCCACACCTCACTGCCCCCAACGCCCCGCCTCCGGACACTGCCACTCTCAGGGTAAGGCGCTGTAGCAGGAACTTTTGGAGTCCCTAACAATGGCCTAGGGCTTGTAAACTCAGCTAAGTATCAGCCAATTACAAGCTACTACGGACTAATAGCCATTATTAACATTTCAAAAAGATGTGACCTGCTCTTAGAAAAGGGACTTCTGTATTGCAGCTGTTTTACAGTGCTCAGACTCAGAAAAGTTCCCTAGGGCAGCCTGGGGAGAAAGTTTCCAAAGCCAAGGTAACCACCAAGGCCCTGTGTCTTTTTATATAAACAACATCGTCAGGGATATAGTTGAGATAATGGCTAACAAAAACTTTCCCCCCTTCAGTTTGCTCCTAAAAGCTACAAAAAAAAAAAAAAAATCCCAGGACGTTGTTTAACCCCTAAAATGTGTGCAATCAAAGGAATGTGCGTGCATGTATATGTGAGTGTGTGGGTGTGTGTATGTGTGTGCATTTGTCCATCTATTTCATGCAGTTTTATTTTCTTAAAAAGATTTTATTGATTTATTTTTAGAGCAAACAGAAGGGTGGGAGAAAGAGAGGGAGAGAAGCATCAATGTGTGACGGCCTCCCACAGGCCCCCAAGTGGGGGCCCGGCCCGCAACCCAGGCATGTGCCCTGGCTGGGAATCGAACTGGTGACTCTTTGCTTCACAGGCCAGCACTCAATCCACTGAGCCACACCAGCCGGGGCCATTTAATGTATTTTTAAACCGTGGTCTCTTAAATAAAATGAAGAGTCAGGCAGACTTGGGTTCAAATTCTGGTTCTGGGCCGCATGAATGAGACCTTGAACACGCGAGAACATAATCTTTCTCAGGGGTTTATACAGTGAGCCAGCTCAGACACTAACAGCGAATGACAGATACAACTAAGTGACCCCCTAGAAGTTGTAAACTGTCTCTGGCTGGAACTCCCTAATTGTCAATGACAGCTGTAATGACCAGATGCAGAGAGGCCTGAGAGACACTGTGGGTCTCAACCTTGTACAGAAGGAATGGCCTGGAAGCCGGTAGAGGACACCGAAGCCTCGGCCCCGCCTCTGCAGGGCCACTCCAACCTTCTGCACTGCGAGTGTGCACTGCGAGTGTGCACTGCGCGTGTGCGTGGGAGACGGAGGGCGAACGGCGAGCAGTTGTGTGCGATCTCCTCCCCACGTGACCCCAGTGTTCAGCAGGACTGAAAGCCACTGCTGTGCCCAGCCCCTTCATTTCTCCGAAAACCGAGGCACTTAGGTGTTTTCAGTGACTTGCCCGAGGTTCACGGTTAAGAGGAAAAACTGAGATCAACAGAATCTCCAGCAGGAGTGGAGTGTGACAAAAACACCAATGGCCAAGACGTCACTGCGGATCTTCTACTCTGTTTCTCCACCCCTGGCCGTGGACTTGCTTTGACTCAGAATTAGCACCGCCAGACCTGTGGCAGCAGCCCTGGTGGCTGCACGCTGCTGCCCTTACGACGCCACCTGAAGAAGCTGGCCTCACTTTGCAGAAGGTGAGGAGCCAAATGCAGAACCGAGATGCCCCAGCTGCCAACCAGCACCGACTGCTGGATGAATGAGGACATCTTGACCTTCCGGCACAGCTGGCTCTCTGGTTGAGGGAGCCCAGGGCGGGCCAGCAGAACCACCAGCCACCTCCCAGAGCCAGGGGTATACTGAGTAGTTTTACTCAAGTCACTGAGCCTTGGGGTGGTTTGTTATACAGAAACAGAAAACTGAAACTGCAGATTTATTTCCATTTTTATGACGAGGAAAGGAAAGCTTAAAAAAGGTATAACGTGCAAAACGACACAGGTAATTACGTGAAACGATCAGGATTTTAACCCTCTGACCCCAAAGCCTCACTACCTTTATGCTGCTTAGAAAACAGTTGAAATCATAAAGTGTCTTATTTACTTAAAAATAATCAAAAATGTACATGGAGAAAACTACCCATATAGTGCCAAAATATAGATGAATAAATAGCTCACTTAAAATCAAAGCTGAAGGTCCAATAGAATAAATTTGTGCTCAATCATACCATTTTTACCCCAGGTTCAAAGCTTTATGCTGATTTTTCCTTAATGAAATAAAATACCGTAATCATAGGAAAAATTGTAGGTAAGAAGCTGTGTAGAAATATTTACTGGGCATTGTACTCTGATCCCACAAATCCCAAGGCAGCATGGTAATTTAACCTGAATACCCGTTTTAAACATATTTACAGTATAGTAGTTACACTAAAAAAGAGAGAAGTCGTAGCACATGTATATACCTGATTAACTTTCTTTTCAAATCCCAGCCATAAACACCGCCATTTCCCTTGTAGCGGGTTCCAGAAACAATGTCAAAATTACCTTCCTTTTGCTTCCTGTAGAACAAATAAATGAACTGTTAATCAGAGGCAGCTATTGAGTTTTCAATAGCTATTTTCAAGAGCCACACAAACGAGACTTCTAAGACTTATACCTAGAAAATAAAAATGCCAAGAAAACAGATGAACTATACTACTAAAGTAAAGCTCAAACCTGACTGTGTTTTCCTTTATTAGTCCTCAGAATGGTACATCTGCTGGCCGTTCCATGTGAAACCGCCCTCAAACGTAGCACTGCGATTCAATTCCCCTACCCCCATGCATTCTGTTCTGGCCCCTCGGAGTAAACAATGCCGAAACAGCCTGGTAACCTCCTAGACCTTTCTCTTTATTAAAAAATAACTCAAAAAATGAACACACCTCTAGGGTTTTAGGTCGCTTTTACCAAATTGGAATCCAAAAACAGTGCATTTTTAGCTTGCTTTCTGTCAGTAAACAATACACATCATGGAATCATGGGTATATATCCCTAGCAGGGGCATCAAACTCATTTTCACTGGGGGCCACATCAGCCTCGCGGTTGCCTTCAAAGGGCCGAAATAATTTTAGGGCTGTGTAAAAGTAACTACTCCTTAACTGTTAAGGAGCTGAAATTACATTCGGCCCTTTGAAGGCAACCACGAGGCTGATGTGGCCCCCGGTGAAAATGACTTTGACACCCCTGTCCTACAGGACAACGGAGAATTTCCCTCCTCTTTTTCAACAGCTGCGGAAACGTTCTGTAGAATACTGGACCCGTGTTCTCCCATGGCTGTTTCCGCGGTGGGTCCCCCCACTTCCAGGAACACAGCCCTGGTGAATCGGGTGGCAGCACTCTTATAAATGTGCGTCCTGGTGCTCAGACCATCCGTAGTAGAACACGATGGGACATAAAATAGTCCTAATGGATCGCATCAGAAATTACTTTCTAAAAAGGTTTTAGCAACTCACTTCCTCGCACTACTTGAGTGTGCTCATTTTCTACACTCTCGTTGGTGCTGGGTGTGCTGCTGGATTTTTTTTTTTTAATTCCTCACCTGAGGATAGGTTTGTTGATTTTCAGAGGGGGTGGGGGAGGTAGAGACAGCAGTATGAGAACCATCCATCAGTTGTCTCCCGTGCATACGGGATGAATTTATTAGAAGTGATTCCCTTACAGGGGATCGAACCCACAACCTAGGTAGGTGCCCTGAAAAGGAGTCGAACCCACAACCTTTTGGTGTATGTTGGTGTATGGGACCATGTTCTAACCACTTAGCAACCTGGCCAGGGTGCTGGATGCTTTTAATTTTGATAAACTAATGGGCCATAATAACGTGCAATTATATTTAATTTGCATCGCCCTGACTACATCCCATGGCGACTATCTTCTCTTGGATTTATTAGCCATTTGGGTTTCTTCTACAGATGGCCTGTTTGTATCTCTCCCATTTTCTATTCCACTGGTTCTACTTCCGTATCAGGCCAAAGAGGCTTCGTGGACTGGAAATACAAGCAGAGGTGGGATCTCTGAGGCAACTTTGTGCAGAGATCATAGACGAGAAACCCTCGGCCTCTAGGGAGCAGGCAGAGGGAACACGGCACGCTGCGTGAGCCAGAAAGCCTGCGCCGAGAGAGCCGAGGGCAGAGGCGCGCGGCGAGCTCAGAAAGGGAGGCAGGCGCCCGACCGCGCGGCAGTTTCAGGGGCAAAGACAAGCAGCGTGGGTTCTTCCCACGCGTGTTAATGGACTATTCTGAACGGCAGAGCGACATAATTGGACTTTGTTTTTGTAGGTTTAGCTTATATTCAGATCAGTTCCCAAATTCTTACTCTGAGAGGTTTTGCGGCCTCTTGGTTTCCTAAGAATATAATTATAGCACCTGCAATACGGTTTTGTGTCCTTATCAATATTTATACCAGACTGTCTACAATACCACTTAAAATCGCCATGTGTAATGGTAGCTGGTGTGCCTGTCTTGATGAACTTATTAGAAATGACTCCGTGTTTCACCATTTGGCAAAATGTTTGTATTAGGACTGGGTTATCCTTCCCATGTTGAAATGGTTTCCTCTATTTCTACTTTAACGTTTTTTATTGGAAATGGCTAGTGAATTTGATCAGATACATTTTGGCATCTACAGACCTGATCACACTGCTTTCTTTGTTAATGTGGTAAATTACGCTGATGAGTTCCTGAAGATGAACAAGTCTCGTGTTCGTGGAATAAACCCTTTTAGGTCTTGGGGCTTCACCCTTATGATGTAGGACTTAATTCCGTTTAACAGGAAGTCACCTGCTATCTTTTTATGTCTGGAATAATCTAGATAACAAAGGAATCATCTGTCCCTCAGGGTTCCAAAAACACATCATTTAGTCCCACTTCTTAAATACTTGTGAGTTTGAGATTCAAAGTCTATATGTTTTATTTTTGATAGCAAATAAAATAGCATGTTTGTTTTTAATTAGCGAAGAATAAAGAATGAAAATAAGTCCAAAATCAATATAAGATAAATGATTTGAATCAGATATTTTCCCCAAATATTAGAATTACCTACCTAATGAATTCAGGAATAAATTTTGGCTGAAATTTAGAAAGAATAAACAGTAAGTCAGTGAAACAGACTAAGACAACGATAAATCGCTAATACGGAAACACACTACTCACGTGGTGTGAGAGATCAGCATCCATGATGATGATGTAATTTCCTGTGGCGTGCTTCATTCCATGAATATAGGCAGTTCCTGAATGTGAAAATATTGATCTCCATGAAAGAAAATTACTGGAAATGCTTCCACATGCATTTGAACACAGAAGAAACTGGCAAGCACTGACAAGTACAGTTAGTCCTCTAACGGTGATCCTGAACTGTAATGAAATGTTTTTTACTCTCAGTCAAACACATCTCTCAATTCCATTCTCTGCCCCCCGTCCTGCCCTTAGTCCCAGGCACCGTCTTCTGATGATCTCTCCCTGCCAAGCGTCCCTCCTCCCGCCTTCCCCATCTCTCCCGCCCACCCCCACCGACGCTCCCCACCCTGTCAGTGCGTTCCACGTTCCACGCAGCGGGCAGCCTGGAGCGCGAGAGCCTGCTCTGGCACCGGGGGCCAAAGGCACAGCGATCAGTTACTCATCTCCGCACGCTCTGACCCGGCCCCTCAGTGTCTCACTAGCCAGACCGACCTCTCCTGCCTCCTTGTGTTCAGAAGTGACCGTAGCAGCTTTCTGGAAACACTGCGGGCTTATCGATAATCCTTGGGCACGTCCATGGCCGTGCCCAGACTCCTTCAGTCCCAAGCCACCTTCTGGACTCGGGCATGCAGAACATCTGACGAGGCCAGCTGACTAACAGACACCAGGGCGGCAGATGTTCACATTTTCTGAACTATGCTTCCCCCGTGCTCCCCGTTTTTCAGTCAAATCACACCAATTCTCAACACGAGCAACTAACAACTGAAATAAGGGCATTTAGATCGCCTCAGAATGGCTGAGCTCATTGGAGATTTTCTTTATGTTTAAAAGCTGCGAAGGCTTCCTTTTAAAAAAAAAAATAAAGAATACCCCTTTAAGACTTAAACTTGAAGAAATGCTCCAAGGCCGTGTGCTGGTCCAAGACGGTTACCCTCAGACCCCTCCCCTGGCATTTCCCCCCATCGCACGGCACTTCTTTCCCAGGCTCTCTCGTGGGCTGGCTCCCAAATCACTATGGGAGGCGGAGGAGGGAGGAGGGGAACGTCTGGGTGGCCTCCTCTCTTACTCTGCCTCCCAGCGCTGACTCAGTGTCCTCAGTGGCTCCGACTCCTGCCAGGTGGTCCAACACCATCCATCTAGCTCCCTCTGGGCAGCCCGGGTTGGCTCCTGGACCCCCAAATCCAACACCTCCCATTGCAGCTCCACCTTGGGGTAACCTCTGAGTAGCCGCACCGCTCCGTTTAGCTTCTCGGCAATCCCCTCACCTGTGTAACCAGATTCCCTGTGTTAGGTTCTCTACACTGCGAGAGTTACAGTGGCTTCTGTTTTCCCGAGTGGGCCTTGACTGGTGAGGGCAACTCAAGCCGCTGAGATGTCACTAAGATCATTAAGAAGCATCACGGGAGGTTACTATTATTTCCATCCCGCTGCAAACTACAAAAACACTGCACAATCTTACCCAGACGAAAAGCAGGTGTAAGGGGTGAGAGGTTCTACCCACCTAGTCCCAACTTTTTCTCCCGTGGCCTTAGAAGCTGTAAGAATAAGAAAAAGAATACTTTGATACAAATAGTAAAAAAGTCTATTAAGAATTATTTTTTTATTCATATAAGTACTGTTCATTTTAACAGATATAGCTGTATTTCTTAGACCTCAGAGCAGAGTACACTTAACATTTTTTTGCCAAACTAAAAAAAAGCATTTAGTAATAAATCGAACAGTTTAACAGCTTTTAAGGGAAAGCAATATTTTTTTCACCCCAACCTCATAATAAAAGCCAAATTTACACACAGAAATTTCTTTGGCGATATCCAGGAAACTCTGTAAACAATGTTTTTACACTGATTTATCATTTTGAACATTGATGAATGCCCTCCCAGGAAAACTGTGGGTCTCATTTATTCTATACGTTTTTAGAACATTCGGTGGCCCGGGTTGCCTTTTCAGCTCCCTCTGTGACTTTAAACGCTGATGTCGCTCTTCCTCCAGCGACTCACCCCGACGTTATGCTTCAGTGACCCCGTCCCCTTCTCTGCCGGCCCAGTGGCGGGAAGGCTGTAAACTCTCTTTTCTTACAGTTTCGTCAACTACCCAGTCAGTCTTCCTACATTTTTTGCTTTATATATAAACCCTAACTTAGTTGATTTTTCTTTTTATCTGAAAACTTTTGTAAAAGTAGAATGCCAAGGTTTTGACTCTGCTGTAAGTTTCTGAGATACAGGGCTCAAGCAGACACACTACTACCGGAGCGTATCTTGTCCGCCTCCCCGCCCCCCACGCTTGCTAGTGTCTAAGCAGGTGCCTCAGACTGCAAACCTCTAAACAGTCTTTTCAGTTCCAGTCACTCAGGATAAGGTTTTTACTACATGTATGCTGCTCTAGGCCTTGCAGGGAGGGGAGGAACAAATGTAGATAAAACATTCCTGCCGGAGAGCAAGACAGTCCATCAATCACCTGTAATCACAATCCACTGAACAGATCAAACAAGGTGTGTCAGATCTTGTTTGATTTTGTGACAGCCAGTGACAGAATACCGAGCCCATCTGACCTCTGCCCTGAAAAAGCCAATCTTTTAAAGTTCACCTTCCATTTCCCATAACCCTGTGTTTCAGCTGGGAAAATTCGTGCTTCAGATAAAAAATAATTTTACTATTTACAAGGTTCAGAATGTTCCAAAGCTTACAAACTATAAAATGCACTGCATACGACAGAGTACTATGGAGCAGTTAAAAGGACGAGGCTGTCCGGTGACAAAAAGTCCCCAAGATATCAGAAAGTAACAGTGGTGCAGAAGGGCTACGTTTACGTGTAAAAACATCGACACGGGCACGGTACCCAGCTCAACGAGGCGGACACACGTGCGCCTGTGCGGACAGGCAGCACGCACCCAGCGCTGACCGGGCTGTACCCTGGGGAAGGCACCGGGACGCTCTCCTCAGGACAGCTGCTCAGAGTCAACCTTGGTTTTATCGGTGACATTGACACTTGACACCCAGGATGCACTTGTTGATTTCCTGTGTAATGACAAGTTCAAATTGCTCCATTTAGTGTGCTCCGCCTTCAGCCCCTTGATTCCTCTCCCGCTTCTGGGCCGCCTCCCCCTGGAGCCACCCTGCTAGTGCGCTGTGTGGTCTGGGCGGTGACGGGCACTCACGGCAGAGCTCGCCTCGGCTGGCCCGGCCGTGCTGTGAGAACAAGCGGCGACTGTCACCCGACAGGGCCCGGCCCCGAGCTGGTCTGCCTCTGGCCAGGTGTAGTGTGTGGGTTCTCGACTCCGTGTAGGAAGGATTTCACAGCGCGAGTCCGGGTGACCATGAGGGTGCGTTCATTAAAGCTGGGGACAGTGAAACGAGGAGGGGCTTCGCAGAAAAGCAGCAGCATAAGGCTGGGCTGCCTTAGCACACTTGGAAGTCAGAGCAAAGGGGGCTTTGGGGACAGGCTCAGGGGATTGGCCTGGGACAAGCTGCCCGCTGCCCACTGCCTTGGAGCAGGGGTGTCAAACTCATTGTCACCGGGGGCCACGCCAGCCTTGAGGTTGCCTTCAAAGGGCCGAATGTAATTCCAGGACTGTATCCATGTAACTACTCCTTAACTAGGGGCAAGGAGCTCAGCGCTGCTGCCGGGTAGAAACAAGGTGGAGGGCGGGATTCGGCCTGCGGGCCTTGTGTTTGCCACCTGTGCCTTAGAGGTTAGGAGACGCCTGCCTGTGGGGGAAGGAGGAGGAAAATGAGATGGTGTGGGCTGCTCCCTTGAGGGAGAAGGCTTCCACTGGGCACTGAAAAAAAAAATGTTTCTAGTTTAAGTGATTCAATGGTCAGCCTTGGCTGGTGTGGCTCAGTGGATTGAGTGTCGGCCTGCGAACCAAAGAATCGCTGGTTTGATTCCCAGTCAGGGCACAGGCCTGGGTTGTGGACCAGGTCCCCAGTAGGGGGCTCGTGAGAGGCAACCACACGTTGATGTTTGTGCCTTCCCATCTCTAAAAATAAATAAAAATCTTTAAAAAGATGATTCAAAAGTCATAGAATAATGAATGAATAGGGAATTTCCCTGGTACCACAGGGAAATCACCACAGTAAATGCTAATTTTCTCCTTATTCATTTGAATTTTATTGGGTTGATGGGGAAAATGATGGGGCAAATAAAACAGTGTTGTTTTAGAATTTGTGAAGGTCAGTTGAGTGTGCAGTCCCTACTAATCCATCAATCAATTACACCTCAAGGCTGAGCTTCTATGACATAAATATTCACAATGTCATCAGGCCGACACTCCCGATGGAACGGCGGCCCGTGGCTGCAGAGCACTCTGCAGGCGACCAGCGTGCACCACGGGCCGTGGCCCGGAGGCTCTGAAGGAGAAGCCGGGGAGCTGTGGCCAAACTCATGAACCATCACTGGAAGTCACGGCTGGGAGGCTGCAAATCTGCTGGCTTCTCACCCGCCTCTGTCCTCCCACTCAGCAGGAGGGGCTGGAGAGGGTGGGGGAGTGACCGGTCCGTGAGTCACGGCTCCGTGCGAGACCGAAGGAGTCCCCGCGGCAGGACAGGTTCACCACGCGGGTGCCAGTAACACAGCTCCCTTAACTCTTCCCGCCCACCAAGATCTCCTCCCACGAAACATATTAATTTACCAATCAAGAACACTGGGACCCACTGACTATTTTTTACGATGCCAAGTGCCATTTCTTGAAATGCAAATATCAACAGAGGTTCTCCAAGAGACTTCTTTATGCCTACGCCCATGGTTCTTTACTGGGAGGAGGGGACAATTTCCCTTCAAGGGGACATCTGACAAAGTCCCGAGACACTTTTGGTTGCCACTCTGGGAAGGAGGGTAGTTCTGGCCTCCGGTGGCTAGACACCAGGGCCGATGCCAGGCATCCTACAACACACAGAACAGCCCCTCAGCACAAGGAATGCTGGGCCCCAAAAGTCAGCGGTGCCAAGGTTGAGAAACTCTGGTCTACATGAGTTACAGTGCCCCGTATGTGTTTTCTAATTAAACACGGACTTAATTGTATGCTTGGGCCCAAGAATTATCCAAAGTCAAGCTCACTGGTATTCTCAAACATATTAAAATCCAAACCAGTGACTAAAAGTATACACATACATGTGCTCATATGTACAAGAAGCCATGCATATATGAAACCATATATATATGGTATAATGGCTCTCTGTCTGCATATATAGTTTCATATATATGAAGCCATTATAAAGTGAACACTACATCTGCCTAACTTACTCCCAAAGAAGAAGAGGCTTCAAGGCGCAGTGGAAAAATCTAAAGTTTAAGACTCAGAAAGTCAACCTACTCCCACGAGACTATTCTGCGAGCAAAAATAAACATAAAAATTCCAAGTCTTCTGAAAAGCCATTCCTATTCCCCACGAGAACAGCCGCCTTCCGCAGTTACGAGCTTTCACCCGCGGGCAGTATTCGCTCCCAAAAGCACCCCAGGCCACCTGGAGAAAGGGAGCAGGAAAGGCCGGGACACACGCCACCAACCGCAGCCTCGTTCTGTCCCCTCCCTTGTCAGTTCAGTATCATGCTTTCATTGTGTCCTTGCAGAGTCAGTCATAAAAACAGTGCACCCCCAAACTATTTTGCTCTAGAACTACTGACCCAACATACCGGGAAGAGGTAAAACCTTAAGCACAGCGGAAATGCATCTGAATCCCAAGTGTCTAAGTTGCTCTTTGTCTTTGCAGTTTCTGGGCAGACTGAACTTAAGCACGGTTCATCTCTCATCCTTCCCCTACAAAGACGCAGCTGGCCAGACGGAGAAAGAGCCACGTGACTTACAATTCTGTCCGAACCGTAGATCTTCTCCAGCTGCTCAGCAACGTCCCTCGTTCCATCCGGGCTTCCGTCATCTATGATTATAATCTCATAGTTGATTTCACTACAATAAAAAACAAATGGAATTTGTATTGTTTGACTACAGTACTGTCAAATTAAAAAATTAATTTTAAAACTACTAATTCTTAACCAGTAGTGGAAATATATTTCCATATTAATCACTAAGGAAAACTTCAACTATAGAATGAAATGTGAAATATTCAGTACTTCACCTCCAAACTTAGTGTGTTGCTGGAAATGCTATTATAAAGTCCTAAGGTGATAAAATACTCTGACGGAAACCATACTTTTCAGTTTTAAAACCAGTGATTTATATATGTAATATATATGATTGGATATCACATGAAGTTTTACTTACTTTGGAAATAGAACTGTGGAACCTTAATATTAATCTTAGTTATACTATTTCAAAAGCATATTTAAAAAACAACTCAAAATGACTGAGAAGCTCTGAGTGATTTATTCTTTTTAATCCCCAAATGATTTAAAGAACGCAATCAGGAATAAATCCAACTTCATTTCACCCTTAAAAAAACCCACTTTAGGAGAGAGTACCAAATAACCTTTGACCCCACTATGTCAAACAGTGGTACCCAGTATCCCACACTATCAAATAAAAAGAAATAGCACAGAATTACAAGAGTTCAATATGCTTCCAAACTAGCATCTCTCTGCTGTTCTCCGTCGTCTTTACGGGACAGTCTCTATTCTACAAACAAGCCAATACTTGGGTGTCCATGAGATCACGGGCATGTCTGCCCCTATTCCCTGGAAAAAAAACAACAACAACAGTCTTTTTGTTAACTTTACTGGGAAACTTAAGTGGAAAGAAAATGAGGCACAGCCAAACTCTCTCACACACAGCATTCTGTTTCTTCTGGGTCCTACTTCAGGAAACATGCAAGGAAGGTGCAAGCAGAAAACACGCGCCGCTAAAGGCTTAAGAAAGTCAGCCCCAGCAAACTTGCCGGAAAGCAAAACTCAGCCCATCTGTCCTCTATCAGAAGATATGATGACTTCCGCTTCCCAACTGTGCCTTAAATTTGGGCACGTGCTTTACATGCCAGAGCATGTAAGATGTTGATTCTAGTCGATGTGCTGAAAGCTACACTTCGTAAGCAAGATCACGTCTCTCCCACTTCAAAGCACCCACACCACCTGAGGGTGAGGTAGCTTAAAGGAATCAAGCCGATCAGATATCAATAAGGTAATTTGACTGCATCTGACAAGCAAGTAGTTGTTCCTTCATGAAACGTGATTTTAAAAAATCCATCCAGGCTATTGAAAGATAAACTGCACTACATAAAATATATTAAAAGTAAAGCAAAAATATTGTATAATCAGAAGACAAACAGGTACAAGACCAGCTATACGACAATTTCTCTAAGTTGGAAAGAGCTTATAGAAATCAAAATACAAAGATAATGTAAAAAGAGATGAATAAAAAATTTGAAGGGCTGTGTATGTGAAGTAGTTACCTCATTAAAAAAAACCCAAAACAGCAATGTTTATGATTGCATAACCACTATGATATAAACCTGAAACTAATACAAAATAATACTGAGTATAAACTGTAAATGAAAAATAAAGTAAAATAATAAAATGATGCAGCTGAAAAAAACCCCCAGCAATATTTTTCACCAACCAGCATTTCCAATGGTGTAAGTTTACAAATACTCAAGTTGACTGGCTGCGGGGACAGGTACTCTCTGAAGGGTGCTGGGGAGTCGTAAGCCGGTACAACTGTTTTTGAGAACAATCTGGCAATAACTATCAACTTCTAGCACACCACTGTCGATACAGCAATGCCACCCCGAAGACTTCATCCCGATGTGCCAGCAACAGTATGAGTGCTTGTTGCAACATTCACCTAATAGGGGAGCACTCGCTACGTGTCCAGCACTTTTCAAAATGCTGGAGGCTGTGGTGTGAACAAAGTCCCCGTTCTCATTTGTGAAGTAAAAAAAAAAAAAAAGTCTTTGAAAATAATCTGTGTTCGTTGACATGACCCAGTTAGATAAAATACAACATAGCCATATGGAATATTACTTAGCTTTCAAAATAATTTGCTAAGTTTGTAGGTGCTGATGACCTGGAAAGATCTTCAAGATTTCTACAACACAGTCCCACCACTGTAATCATAAAAACAAGCTGCTTTGCACTGACACCAGAATTTACCAAAGTTGTTTTTTTTTAATCGTATAAACACTTTCAAATCAAACTGCAAGCCCCAGGTTCTAACGACGACGAACATCCCCAGTGATCAGCGAAGCTGCCCTTCCGTCAGCCCAGCAGCAGACACCGAACCTCATGCTTACATAAGCACTGGGCACCGGGCGGGAGTGCGTGTGCTCGCTCAGACTCCCGGCTGCCGCCGCGGATCCCGACCACCTAGACGGCCGAGTGAGGTCCGGCTTACAGCCTCGCCCCCGGTGAAAGGGACCAGCCCTTTTGGGAAAAAGGCGGTGACAGATGGGAGGGGCAGTGTAAAGATAAAGGACTGTCTCGCAAAACCCAAGGGCAGCAAGGAGAACCGAGACAAGGATTGAACACCTGAAGTATCCGCCTCGGCGTCCCCCGCAGGGTGGCCCCCTCCCCAAGACTTCCCCCGGCAGCCGCAGACGGGCCCCGCAGGGCCGCCTGGCGCAGCCAACTGCCGGCAGGCAACCAGGCCGGGAGGCCAGCTCATCCTTTTCCCCGGGCAGGGCGGCCGGGCATGCTACCTCTCCGAGAAGCTTTTCACCAGCAGCCACACGATGAGCGGCAGGTTCTCGCGCTCGTTGTAGGTGGGCAATAGCACCGAGTACTTGTCCTGTCGCGGGTCGCGCCCCTCCGGCCGCCGCCGAGACTTCGGAGGGGTACGCCGGGCTTCCTTGGAGGCCATGGCGGAACTGCGCGACACATCGGAAGCGGAATGACGCGACGAGTCGGACAGTGCCAAGTTGGGGACCGGGGGCGGGCCCGTGTGGTGGAGAGTGCTCGCTCCCTTAAGGCCCTGTGTATAGTTCCGTTGGAGATATCAGATCTTGTGAATCTCTAAAGTTGAACCTACAGGTTGTTCCTGGAAATTGGTATCTTATCACCTCTTCCAAAGCTCCATAAGATTGTGTAGTTTACGGCGGTCGCTAGGAGACGGTAAACCGGAAGCGGAAATGCCGTTCAGGAGCTCTAGGGAAAGAGGACGTCATGGCTGCTAAGGCGGAGGTCCGGGCTTTGCAGGCTGAAGTTGCCCGGCGGGAGAAGGAGCTGAGTTCCCTGAAGCAGAGACTGGCGGCGGCTCTTCTGGCGGAGGAAGAGCCAGAGCGGCCGGCTCCGGTGTCGCCCCTGCCGCCGAAGGCCGCCCTGACCCGAGAGGAGATTCTGCGCTATAGCCGGCAGCTGGTGCTGCCGGAGCTCGGCGTGCAGGGGCAGCTGCGCCTGACCGCCGCGTCCGTGCTAGTCGTGGGCTGCGGTGGGCTCGGCTGCCCGCTGGCGCAGTACCTGGCAGCGGCCGGCGTGGGCCGCCTGGGCCTTGTGGACTACGACGTGGTAGAAATGAGCAACCTGCCGCGCCAGGTGCTGCATGGGGAGGCACTGGCCGGCCAGGCCAAGGTGTTTTCGGCCGCCGCCTCGCTGCGCAGTCTTAATTCGGCCGTGGAGTGCGTGCCGTACGCTCAGGCTCTGACGCCAGCCACGGCTCTGGACCTGGTCCGCCGTTATGACGTCGTGGCTGACTGCTCCGACAACGCGCCCACTCGGTACCTCGTTAACGACGCCTGTGTACTGGCCGGCCGACCTCTCGTATCCGCCAGCGCCCTGCGCTTCGAGGGCCAGATCACAGTCTACCACTACGACGGAGGGCCTTGCTATCGCTGCGTGTTCCCCCAGCCACCTCCAGCGGACACGGTGACCAACTGCGCAGATGGCGGGGTGCTCGGTGTCGTCACTGGGGTCCTGGGCTGCCTGCAGGCGCTGGAAGTGTTGAAGATCGCGGCGGGCCTGGGCCCCTCTTACAGTGGCCAACTGATGCTCTTCGATGCTCTCAGAGGACGTTTCCGCTGTATTCAGCTGCGGAGCCGCAGGCCCGACTGTGCGGCCTGCGGGGAGCAGCCCACTGTGACTGGCCTGCAGGACTATGAAGCCTTCTGTGGCTCCTCGGCCACGGATAAGTGCCGTTCCCTGCAGTTGCTGAGCCCAGAGGAGCGAGTTTCTGTCACCGACTATAAGCAGCTTCTGGATTCTGGGTCACCCCACGTGTTGCTGGACGTCAGGCCTCAAGTGGAAGTGGACATCTGTCGTTTGCCTCATGCCCTGCACATCCCTTTGAAACATTTGGAACGGAGGGATGCGGAGAGCCTGAGACTCTTAGGGGAAGCGATCCAGGAAGGGAAGCGAGGCACTCAGGAAGGGGCAGCGCTCCCCATTTACGTGATTTGCAAGCTGGGCAACGAATCCCAGAAGGCCGTGAAGATCCTGCAGACGTTGACGGCAGTCCAAGAGCTGGGCTCCCTGACCGTTCAGGATGTGGTTGGGGGGCTCATGGCCTGGGCCGCCAAAATCGACGAGACATTTCCCCAGTACTGAGGTGGCTGGTAGACTGGTCGGACCTGAGAAGGATGTGGGTTGTCCCATTACTTGAAAGAGCACGGCGATTTATTGGATGATGTAGTTGTTAATGGATTATAACTCGGTCTCTGCGAGTTGCCTTGTGTTTTCAGCACTTGGAGAGTGCCTTGAACTTGTGAGCTATATTGTAAGGGACAGGATTTTGTGTTTTAATCTGCCAATCATTCACCGGTCCAGCTTTTTTCCCACCTCCCCCAGTGCAAAAGCTCTGTAAATGGTCTGTTTTATGCCTGGAATTAAGTTGTTGTAAACTTAGTCTTACTGAAATGACCACAGATGATACACTTAAGATCAATTTATTGTTTACTAAAGATCTTCTTTGGATCTTACTTCCACTTCAGGTGATAGAATATGCACTAGAGAAATAAATGTTACTGCATTGTTTTAATGATCTGGAAAGTAGTTATATATTAAATATTGTGAATTCATATCCCAAGTGAAGTACTTAAAGGTTAGCAAGATAAACGAAGCCACTTTCATAGTATGTCAGTTTCTCTTATAAACTTCTGATTTTTTTTTTTTCCTAAAGTTGGCTTCAGGGACCACCTTATGTTGTAGCCATGCCATTTTCTAAACTGTGTATTATGGTTTGGCTTGCTTTGGAATCTTCCAAGTCCAAGTTCTAACCTTCTGCCTTCCTCCTGCCCTTCCCTATCCAATCTGTTACAAACCACATTTCCTTGAAATGGCAGGTACCCTGCCCCATTTCCAATATCTACAGCAAAATCAAAAGCAAACATTTGGTATGTATGTAGCAGTGGTTAATTGAAGGGGAAACGCCTTGTCAAAGGGCGCCTCCACTCTGCAGCTGACTTCTGCATGCAGGCTCACCTGCAGCCAGAAACCACAGACACAAACGTGCAATCTTTGTTATCTGTGGCTACAGATGTTTAAAGAGTTAAAAAGCATTGTGGGCCAGACAGGACCTGTACTTACCAGGTTGCAAACACTTTTTCCTCTCCACTATTCACTCTGAAGTTTGGGCCTCCATTTTATTTTTTTTATTTTTTTAAAGAATGTATTAATTTTTAGAGAGAGAAGGCAGGGAGAAAGGGAGAGAAACATGGATCAGTTTCCTTTTGTACCTTCTCCTATATATGGGCCCCCAACTTAGGCATGTGCCTTGACTGGGAATCGAACTGGCGACCTTAGCCAGTTCTTTGCAAGAGGACACCCAACTAATGGAACCACCCTGGCCATTTTAAGTAGATTCACCATGAACAGCCTTTTCCTAGTGCTCGTTGTACTTGCCTAGCTAGGGCCCGTGGTCCTTGGCTCATCTGGCTGTAAGGATTGCAGCCTGGTGGACTCAGGCTTTTGGATGGGAGCATGAGCTAAACTGGCCAGAGTTAATGCCAAGTGAAAGCCTGTGCTGAATGGACAGAGCTCAGAAATTAAGCATTAAAACTTCCCCTGGGGCCTTATCCTCTTACATCTGGGGATTAAGGCTCAGTCCAGCTGACACGGCATATGGAGAGCCATGTAAAAGACACACAGACCACACAGGGCGCATTGCCCCTCCGTGCGCTTGAGGCGTGGGGAAGAATGTTCAGCAGCCTCAGGAAGGAAGGCTATTGAATAGAGCGGCTCACACAGGTCGGCAGAGGTTATGCTTCCCTTCTGTTCTCAGCTTGGGTAGCTGCAGGGCTCCAGCCTCGCCCCCCTTCCTTCCTGTTATCTGCAAATATTTTTTTTTTGTACTTTGTCATCCCTGGGGGGTGCAGCAATGAGTAGGGGAGGCACTCTCTTTGCTCCCAAAGCCTTGTACGCAGTGGGCAAGAACCATTAAGAGAAGGAGATACACTTCCTGGCTGAGTGGCGCAGTGGGTTGGAGCACCCTTCTGTGCACTGAAAGCGGTGAGTTCAATCCCCAGTGAGGGCACATACGTAGGTTGTGGGTTCGATCCCTGATTGGGGCACATATGTCAATGTTTTCTGTTTCATGTCAATATCAGCCAGGTAATTTGCACCACCCCTTGTACCCTGTGGGGCCCTGAACACCGACCCTGTGTGGGGTATTTGATGATGGCTGAGACCTTGTGGTTGCCATAGCTGGGATGGGCAGGGGATCATGGTACTGGCATCTTGTGGGTAGAGAGACCAGGATCCTCCCGAATTTCAGGGGCCAGGCCTTGACTGTTTTATTTTGTTCGTTTGTTTTTTAAAGCTCCTCCCTCCCAGGGTTTTCAGATAAATTACAAAAGTGTCCAGTTAACTTTGTATTTCGGAAAAACAAATGGTGCTGAACATCCTGCAACGCACAGGATGGACTCACAGCAAAGATTTATCAGACCCTAAGTTTCAGTTGTGTTGAGGTTGCAAAATCCTGTTTCAGTCAATGACAATTTTGACACAGACCAGAAAGGACAAAATCAGAGGGTTTTATGGAAACACACAGCCAGGGACCTGCCTTGGTCTGGAGAAGGCTTCCTGGAGGAAAGGCCCTTTGAGGTGAGACCTGACAAATGAGTATGAATAAGCCACGCCCAGGAGGAGGAGGAGAGGAGGTGACAATGGGGCCTTAGGAGGTCATTAACATCCCTTTGTTCTCTGCAGAGGTTCAAAACCAAGTGAGAAAGAGACCTGGGATTTAGCTAGACCAGTGAAAATTCCACCTTTGTAACTAAGGAAGCTACTTGGGGGACTGTGCTTAGGGACGCCCAACCTTGCTGATAGCACGCCCTCTCCACCTCCGTGAACTTACCACCCCAGCCTGCAGGATCCAGCCTGCCATTCACCAGGGTACGCCCCCACCGATCTCACAAAGAGGAGGCAGGAAGGGGCCATAGTGTATATCCCAGTTCCCTCTCCCCACCTCAGTCATCCTTCCTGGAGAGGGTGAGGGGGCAAGGGTGGATCAGAGGACAAACACTGTTGCCCCAGCGCAGTGGTCTCCACTGGCTATTGAGGAAGTCACCTGGGGGACTCAGAAAAGCCCTGTCCCCAGGCAGCAGTCCCGCCCCAGCGAAGCCGGAATTTTAGAGGCCAGGCCTTGATTGTTTTATTTTGTTCGTTTGTTTTTTAAAGCTCCTCCCTCCCAGGGTTTTCAGATAAATTACAAAAGTGTCCAGTTAACTTTGTATTTCCGAAAAACAAATACATTTTTCTGTCCAAGTATGTCCCAACCATTGCATGGGGCCTGCTTATATTCCGTTATTTACCTGAAATGCCCAACTAGTGGGCGTCTTGTATATTTAGTTGCTAAATCTGGCAACCCTGGGGTCCCAGGTGACCCGCACCTGCAGCTGAGGTTGAGAAGCACTGAACCAAGGAAACAGGAAGAGTGGGACATAGGTGTCCTCCTCCCACGTCCTCCCACCTTTGGTCCCCTGACAACAGGGGTGGGCGGTCCCCACAGGGAACAGCCATCCTTCAGGCCAGTCCTGGGTCTGCCTTCTTGAATGAACCCCAGTATCAGCCAGGACTCCTTGTGGATCTTTCTAGACTGACTGGCTCAGCAGGGCTGGGAAAAACACATTCTCTAAATCAACAGAAAGCCTACCCAGTACTCCTCACTGAAAGAAATTCCATTTCTTCTCCCATCTCCAACTAGGGTCAGCCTTGTTACCCAATATGGCACCACAGGGGTTCTGTGGTGGGATTACAGCTGCTCCCGGTGATAAAAGGGACCCCAAATGCTTTGATCTCACAACTCGTAAGGGCAAGTGGGTTTGAGCTCAGCCTTTAATTCTTTTGGACTTTACAAGGACTCTGAATGTATTTGTCCCAGAGAACATAATAAAGTCTTTATTATTCAAAAGTGGAGTCACAGTGCAGTGAACCCTGGGGGAGCAGGGATGGGACACTACGATTGGCCAGGTCCGGTCACATGCGCACCCCCGGACCTGAGCTTGGTGCAACTCCGTCCGATCCCAGGGACTATAAGTGAGGGCCCGGCGGTTCTGGTTTTAAAAGGCAGGTTTTATTACTCAGGAATGGTGAGGCCAGGGGATCAGGAGATGACTGCTATTGAAAAGATGGTTCTATACCACCGGGAGGCAGGGAGAGCAGGCTTAGGATGGGCTGGATAAATGACCTGAGGCTGACCCTAGGTGCCTGGTACCTGGCCCAGGGTGGTTAGGGCATGTGGATAGAGGCCCGGCTTATGAGAGCCAGAGAAGGAGGAGTCTGGATTGGCTGGTCTGCCCATGAAAAGTGCCTTCCGGAGTTTGCTGTTTACCGTCTCTAGGAACTGGCTAATTCAGGGAGGGGCAGTCCCTCCACAGTTGGCAGGGCCCCCAGATGTCAAAGCATCGAAAATACATAATAAAATGAGGTGATGAATAGAGTTCTCCAAACGCAAATCCACTTTCTGTGGCCAGGAGTGGAGGCAGACGCCGGGCAGCCGGACACACAAGAGATGGCGCTACCCGAACGTAAGCCCGGCCCCTCGGGGCCCCACAGTCGGACTCTGCCTGGTCAGTTGTCATCCTCCCCCTCCCGGGCGGACCATCTTTCTTTGTCACTGGGGTTACTGCACCCACAGGCCTCCTGGCCAGTCCCATCCTGGGATCTGTGACTATATGTCCAGACATCTCGGTCCCCTGTGACTGGGTCCACGGGGCACATCTGCCACTGCCATTCACTCTGATCACTGCGGGGAAAAGCTGACAGTTGACAGTGGCTGTGGTTCTCACTTCCCCTGGCACCAGGCCCACTTGTTTTATTAAAAACCACCCAGAAACCATGCCTGCTGTCGCCGGGAGCGGCAGGGGGTGGGGGTGGGGGGAGCAGCGTAATTGGAGCAATTGAGTACGTTTGTCCCCAGGCACTGCTCAGAGACTTGGTAGTCGCCTCCGAGGCACAGCGCTGGGCAAAGTGAGAGACGCCATCAGGACAGCTGCCACTAGGACTGAGAGAAGACTGTCAGGTTTTGAGGCGCTTCAGGCTGTTTAGGGACTTTGCCCTTTTTGTCCCCCACCCCCTATATTCACCGAGATCCTTCCCCAGGGAGCGGGGCGTTCATTAGAAGCCATGGATTAGAAGGCGCCTGCCTCCTTTGTGGATTTGTGGTCGAATCCCAGGAGGGAGGGGCTGATGAATCCAGGGGACCTGGAGAGCGTGGGTCCTGGATTCTGGGAGGAGAGAGAGGGCTCCTCCCCCCCCCACTCCGCCCCCGCCCTGCCTCCTGGAGCTGGAGGCTCCTGTGCTCGGCTCCCAGCCTTCTCTTTTCTCCGGGACCTGCTGCTTCCTGTTGTCTTACTCCGGCGGGACTTCTGCGCACCCTTCGAGCCGTTTTCTCTGCTGCTTGCGAAGTGCTTGAACGGAGCAGTGTCCCCTGGTTCTGGACCGAGTCCGGGTTTCAGCAGGGATTGTTTGGGGATCATCTTGACCTAGACAAACCCAGAGAAGTTTGCTCTGTGACACCAATCCGCTCCCAAGCCCTCCTTCCC